CCAGGAATAGAACATATCAAGATCGGACGATACAGATGCTCCCAAATGAACACAGGCCCGGTTTCAGTGGAAGTCATAAGCCCTCAAACAGAAGAGTCTTTTGAGAAGTGGGGAAAATTAGATTGAATAAGGTTGAAGAATTATCAAAGGGGTCATGAACTGAGAAACCAAAATTCCCTTGATTTTTTTTTTACATATAAGAGGTCATTGTATGATAAAAACATTCTGTACGTTTCAGAATTTCAAACTTTCTCATTAGTCTAAAAACAGCTTGTATTGAAGCCAATCTGCCAAAACAGCTTGTGGACTGTTCTACTCTATGATGTAATAGTGTGGATAAACACCGCCTCCAGAAGATCAACGCCTGCTTCTACATCCCTGCTTGTTTAGCCCCGCCCACCGATTCTACATCACTGCCTGTTTAGCCCCGCCCACCAATTCTGCATCACTGCCTGTTTAGCCCCGCCCCGCCCACTGATTCTACATCACTGCCTGTTCAGCCCCGCCCACCGATTCTGCATCACTGCCTGTTTAGCCCCGCCCCGCCCACTGATTCTACATCACTGCCTGTTTAGCCCCGCCCACCGATTCTGCATCACTGCCTGTTTAGCCCCGCCCACCAATTCTGCGTGACTGCCTGTTTAGCCCCGCCCACCCCACCGATTCTACATGACTGTCTGTTTAGCCCCGCCCACTGATTCTACATCACTGCCTGTTTAGCCCCGCCCACCAATTCTGCGTGACTGCCTGTTTAGCCCCGCCCACCAATTCTGCGTGACTGCCTGTTTAGCCCCGCCCACCAATTCTGCGTGACTGCCTGTTTAGCCCCGCCCACCAATTCTGCGTGACTGCCTGTTTAGCCCCGCCCACCAATTCTGCGTGACTGCCTGTTTAGCCCCGCCCACCAATTCTGCGTGACTGCCTGTTTAGCCCCGCCCACCAATTCTGCGTGACTGCCTGTTTAGCCCCGCCCACCAATTCTGCGTGACTGCCTGTTTAGCCCCGCCCACCAATTCTGCGTGACTGCCTGTTTAGCCCCGCCCACCAATTCTGCGTGACTGCCTGTTTAGCCCCGCCCACCAATTCTGCGTGACTGCCTGTTTAGCCCCGCCCACCAATTCTGCGTGACTGCCTGTTTAGCCCCGCCCACCAATTCTGCGTGACTGCCTGTTTAGCCCCGCCCACCAATTCTGCGTGACTGCCTGTTTAGCCCCGCCCACCAATTCTGCGTGACTGCCTGTTTAGCCCCGCCCACCAATTCTGCGTGACTGCCTGTTTAGCCCCGCCCACCAATTCTGCGTGACTGCCTGTTTAGCCCCGCCCACCAATTCTGCGTGACTGCCTGTTTAGCCCCGCCCACCAATTCTGCGTGACTGCCTGTTTAGCCCCGCCCACCAATTCTGCGTGACTGCCTGTTTAGCCCCGCCCACCAATTCTGCGTGACTGCCTGTTTAGCCCCGCCCACCAATTCTGCGTGACTGCCTGTTTAGCCCCGCCCACCAATTCTGCGTGACTGCCTGTTTAGCCCCGCCCACCAATTCTGCGTGACTGCCTGTTTAGCCCCGCCCACCAATTCTGCGTGACTGCCTGTTTAGCCCCGCCCACCAATTCTGCGTGACTGCCTGTTTAGCCCCGCCCACCAATTCTGCGTGACTGCCTGTTTAGCCCCGCCCACCAATTCTGCGTGACTGCCTGTTTAGCCCCGCCCACCAATTCTGCGTGACTGCCTGTTTAGCCCCGCCCACCAATTCTGCGTGACTGCCTGTTTAGCCCCGCCCACCAATTCTGCGTGACTGCCTGTTTAGCCCCGCCCACCAATTCTGCGTGACTGCCTGTTTAGCCCCGCCCACCAATTCTGCGTGACTGCCTGTTTAGCCCCGCCCACCAATTCTGCGTGACTGCCTGTTTAGCCCCGCCCACCAATTCTGCGTGACTGCCTGTTTAGCCCCGCCCACCAATTCTGCGTGACTGCCTGTTTAGCCCCGCCCACCAATTCTGCGTGACTGCCTGTTTAGCCCCGCCCACCAATTCTGCGTGACTGCCTGTTTAGCCCCGCCCACCAATTCTGCATCACTGCCTGTTTAGCCCCACCCACCGACTCTACATCACTGCCTGTTTAGCCTCCCCCACCGATTCTACATCACTGCCTGTTTAGCCACCAATTTGCGCACGTGGTGTAAATAACGAGAAGTGAATGCAGGTCTACACAGGAAAACAACTGATAAAGATGGATCTGAAGACAACAAGACGCTGTATTTGCAATGCAAATACAAAAAAACAGTATTTGCGTTGCCAAAGTTAGCAAAGAATGAATTAACTTGTTTTTAATGAAGATCCAGACACCATCAGTAAGAACTCGGTCCTTTGTTCACTTCATTTTACCACGGATTAGTTTACAAACAAGGCACAATTCGACGCAGGATTTTCAGAAAGATTGAAACTAAAAGACAATGCTGTGCAACTATATTGGATCTGACAGTAATGTCGCACAAGTGTGAGTATCTGTTTTCATTACGTGGTCACTATTGCTTTCTCTTCTTACAGATCATTTGATATGTATTGAGTTATTTATGCGTTTATGACCTAAATCACAGCAGTGTCCATCTATGAGGAATGTATGCTGTCAAACATACACAAGTGTTAGCCAATCGTAGCAGTGGGCATTTACTTCCGAGTCTACAATCCTCTACGCCAATCCAAACAGAGCGTTCTGATGAGGGGGTCAAAAACAGGACAGAAAATACCCTATTACTTCTAAATTATGATGTTTTTTATGTAAAATTATTGATAACATAAGTGGACCTCAGAGAACAGTACAATAAAAAGGTAGTTCATGACCTCTTTAACGGTTGAAGAACATGCAATTGATATGGGAATGTACATCAGTCAAAGGACTCAGTTTCATGTGATTTTCTGAAGATGTGGTCACAGCAGGAGCTCAGATGAGTTCAGCTACAGAGCTCCTATGACTGTGCTTGAGTTGACAAACACACATGAGTTGGCAGGTTCCTCCATATGAGGGCACCTAAACAGCAAACAGGCTTCCCCTGCTGTATAATATCCTCCCAACACCTGTCTGAGGCAGTCGTGTAGGCTTTCGGTGCGCCACTTAAAGTTTTAACTCAGAGCATTTTTTTCATTGCATTTGTGGAGTTTCACAGCAACACGCTTATAGTAGTTCACCTAAAAATGGAAACTTGCTGAAAATGTACTCATCCTGAGGCCATCCGAGATGTTGATAAATTTGTTTCTTCATCAGATGTGGAGGAATGTAGCATTGCATCACTTGCTCAGCAATGGATCCTCTGCAGTGAATGGGTGCCGTCAGAATGAGAGTCCAAACAGCTGATAAAAACATCACAATAATCCACAAGTAATCCACACCACTCCAGTCCATCAGTTAACATCTTGTGAAGTGAAAAGCTGTGTATTTGTAAGAAACAAATCAATCATTAAAGCAATTAAATCGAGGGCTGCTGCTGGCCAATTGGGTGCCCTAAGCAGAATTGTATTGTTGTGCCCCACTCTCCCAAATATTATGGATGTAAAAAAAAACAAAAAAAAAACACTTACTATAGGGGTCAAAACAGAACTTTAATAAAATATAAAAGTAAATAAATAAATAAATAGTAATTATATTGTATTATTTACAAATTACAATTGTAGCACTAGACAGTTACCTATGGCTATGATTTTATTAATACAGTTGTCTGATTGATTTTAGTCTCAAGCATTTAGAAATGATGCAAAGGAAAACTAAGCAGTTTCTCTACGATAAAACCATGGTCCCTTTTTGTAAGGGTTGTGATGTCCACATGCTTTTGTTGAAGAAATTATTGAGGCTGTCGCATTTCTTTTGCAAAATGGTGGCCAAAAATTAAACATTGAGTGGATATTTGAATTAAATGTTTGGTCAATATTAAAGGACTTGATCGTCCTGTAAGTGTAACAGCAGCAGTTACCAGGCTTTTGGCTCCCTTTGCCAAAGGCAAAAATTGTCTACTTTGTATTACATTATGTATTTTTACAGTGCTATTCAATGAAACCACTTAATTCACATTGTTTTATATAATGCATTTTAAGTCATTTTAAAAGCTGTTGTTGGCTTAGGTCTGATTTTATAACCACAAAAAATATTATCTTATAATTCATTACATTTATATAACGCTTTTCTAGGCACTCAAAGCACTTTACATTGTCAGGAGGTATCTCCTCATCCACCACCAGTGTGCAGCATCCACCTGGATGATGCGACGGCAGCCATAGTGCGCCAGAGGAGACAGAGTGATGAAGCCAATCAGCAGATATGGGGATTGTTAGGAGGCCATGATGATCAGAGGTCAATGGGCAAATTTGGCCAGGATGCCGAGGTCACACCTCTACTCTTTTCGAAAGACATCCTGGGATTTTTAATGACCACAGAGAGTCAGGACCTCGGTTTACCGTCTCATCCACAGGATGAAGGAAGTATATTAATACTTCTTTGTAAACTATTACACTGAAAAAATTATACTACCTTTTTTAAGGTAAATGGTTGCAAACTATTTATTTTAGCTACATTTCATTAAAAAAAATGTTGAAAGTTAGTAAACTAAATTTGTTTATTTATATGTAGCTAAAATAAATAGATTGCAACCACTTACCTTAAAAAAAATAGTAAATTCAATGAATAATTTTTTCAGTTTATTTGAATTAACAAAACCATGGTTAATTTGTGGTTACATCCATGGCTACGAGAACCATGATTTTTGGTTTTATTCGTAAAACCATGGCTAATTTTTGAAAGGGAACATGGAAAGTCAGAGAGAATATTAGATGCGTTGTTGGTGGCTAAATTATCACCGACACCGACATTAAACACGTTATTAACGTCAACATCCAAAACAGTTTCACAGGATTTAGGCTACCTGAAAGTGATGCGCAGGGAATGGCGCTTCACGTGTGCTTAGCCTAAAATGCATTTTTTTAATAATTATAATTATATATATATATATATATATATATATATATGTGTGTGTGTGTGTGTGTGTTCATCTTTATATTTTTATTTATGTATATGTTAATTTTAATATTAATATAGAACGTCTCACGTTACTTATGTAATCATGGTTCCCTGAGTAGGGAACGACACTGCGTCCTCTAGGGGGCACTATGGGGAACGCCTCGCCGTGACCCGTGTCTGAAGCATACATTGAAAAAACACCAAAAACACGTTGGCCGGCGACAGCCCATGACGTCACTACCGGTGCGACTATTAGTATAAATCATTCACTTCTTCGTCTGAAGCAGTGTCTCGTTCCCTACTCAGGGAACCATGGTTGGGGTGTCTCAAGTAACCTGAGACATTTTCTTTCAAGGGAACTTCAAACTGCGTCCTCTAGGGAGCACTATGGGGAATGGTATACCCACGCCGCCATGCTGAGGGGAATGCGGGCCAGAACCATGGCGAGCACTAAGTACCAACTTTACTATTTTCATGGTGAGTTGCCCCTGGGACGTCAGACGGCTGTCCGTGACTTTATCCCCTACTGCCAAAGGCCTAGGCTACATACCCAAACTTACCTGTTAGGGCCAGACTCCTGGGCCCGGGGTAGAGCTCCAGGCTTGGAATCAAATAGATTCCTTTAAGGGGATACGACCAAGAGCCTAGTATCATACTAAGTCTTGGCCTGTCACACAGGGGCTACCGCTTGCTCTTGAATAAGCTCTGAAATTAATGTCTCAACAGACCCCTAGTAGCAACACCCTGTTAAAATAGGTATCCTAGGATACCTAGGTGGAGTGGCGCCCAAGGTGAACGGGGCTCTAACCAGCTCAAGAAAGGGCACGAAGCAACCG